TACTAAAGATTATTTGCTTCCACCGATACTGTATCTTGTGCACAGAACTTTCTAGGTTAAAAATTAATTTTCTCTACGTATTTAATTTATACATGTTTTATTGTTATACACCTTTACCTGTATTTTCATAATACATACACTGAAATGTGTTTTATAATAATTTTTGACAATAAGTACAGATGTTTTGTGATATAAAAAATATATTGACATTTTCATTGTTAACAACCCGTGTATATTATATAACGAACTATTAAAATGCCCTTTTAACTTGTTTACTTGAATATTTAAAAAACTTTTATATTTATTATCATTCATTACTTAATCCATAACAAAAGCTATTATGTTAATTCGCTACTTGACCATGTTTACTTTATTTTGTGTCATATGCTTAATAAATTATATAACGCCAACGTCACAGACATCTAACCCACCAAATGACACCGATGTCCCTACAACTACCTCCCCGTCCAATTCAACCTCACCATACATTTCATGCAATAGTTATGATGACTGTATGTCCGATGAGGACAGTCACCGGCGGTGTGTAAACAGACTGTGCATTTGTGCCGTTAATTTCCGATACAATGACTTAATGAAAAAGTGTCAGTATTTTCGATGCAATGATTTCATGGATTGTCGGGATTATAGTCATCCGGGTTTATACGACGATATGGGCCGGGATTGCAATGTCCGGGGAGAGTGTGTCTGTCAAGAGACCCAGTATTACGAGGACTCAGCCAATGGACACATATGTGTTTGGGTTCACAATGTGGCATACCCTTATAGGCCACCCGCCACGTGGCGGGTGGCGTGTAAGTATGTTTGCCCGCCACCGGTGGCGACATTGATACCCCGCCACCCTATCGGTGGTGGCCCTGATAACCCGCCACCATATCGGTGGCGACCCTGATACACATTTTTACACAAAATTATACATTTTTAGGTTAGGTTAGGTTAGGTTAGGTTAAGTCTACCAGAGCCGCCACGGGTACGGTGGCGGGTTATTAGGGCCGCCACCGACATAGTGGCGGGGTATCAGGGTCGCCATCGACATGGTGG